AAACTCATTTTATTAATTTTTGATCGGCAGATGACCTTGAAAATTAACTAAAAGAGATGTAGGTATCTCTAAAGATGCAGTATGAAAAAGAATTATTTTATAATATAGTATATAGAAGTATAGTGTAAAATACTCAACAATTTTGCTGAAATTTTGCTAGAATTTTTGGTTGGAAACCTCAATAAATTGTTAAATTCCTACAGAATACCAATATACCAGTTCTCGAATCGATCCTTTCAAATCATCTAAGAATAGTAGAGTTTTTTGACAAGTGGAATCCAATCTCAAACGCCACAAGTACTTAAACCTATTTCTTCTATCAAGCAATAACCGAAATTTGTTTAGATGCTATTTTCAAAAGCGTATGATTTCGTATGAGGAAGAGGAACCACAAACGATTCTTTAAGTTAAAGATGCAGTTAAAAAACTAGACAGAAACAAATCACCCTAAATAGATAATTTTCCAGCTGAACCATATACCATGATACCAAACTGGTATTACATCAGCTTATAAAAGAAATATGGACACAGAAATTCTTCCCCCAATGATTGGAATATTGGAATACTTTGCACCAAAACAAAAAAATAAATGAAGATACCTGTAAATGCTATAAACAACACAGGAATTACGCTTTTATATGCACCTGATAACGGTTAAGGAGCGGGGTCACTTTAAAACCTTTACTACTACAGCGGGAGTACCACAAGGTTCAGTGTTGGCTCCCATTTTATACATCATTTACAACAGTGACTTTCCTAACCCCCGCTACACCAACACAACCACTTTGCTCTACGCAGATGACACAGCTTTGTAGGAGATGGCGAGTGACACCCAACCCAAATAAAACACAAATGATTCTCTTTAGACATCCAAGGCATAGCCAGTCTATCACACCCACAATTTCCGCAAGGGACAATCTTAGACTTTGGGGAGACCGACAGCTCCGTGACCAGATCGAGTACCTCGGTGTAGTGTTTTCTCAAACACTTAAGTGGAAGGCCGATCTGAACAAAGCCTGTAATAAGGCTAGGAGCAGTCTAGGCTGTCGGACTACTCAATGCTCTTCGTGGTAAATTCGGAAGAACACAATCACGCACACTAATTCATACATACAAAACATTTATCAGGCCGGTCATCGAGTATAGATCTAACATCTATATTACGATGCGCGACCACAACACACAAAGACTGCTTGCGTTGGAGAGGAGAATCCTGCGTAGAGTGAACAACAAGCGATGCGATTACCTTCCGCCTTATACATCACCTGTCGAATATTCAGCCCATTAATGAGAGACTTTCCTGAGAGAGATTAAAACCTCAGAGCCCAAAGCCTTCTTAAAACTACCTGCTCATCCCTCGGCAATGTATTCAAAAGACATCCCAAATCCAAACTCCCTCTCCTACCCTCTATTTTACTGGCCCTTGCCAGCAACGAACTCCTGATGAATACATTGACATCCTGGAGGCAACTCTCCTCTTCTATCGTCGTCGCCATTAACTTTAAATGCTCACTTCGAGCTTGTTCTAGACAGGGGGATCGGTTTTCTGTGGTTTCCCGATCCCATTGCACAACGATACCTGTCTATTGCAGAGGATACAGCCACAGCTGCCCTCTCGCGCCGCGCTTTCATGCAGCTATTAATACCAAAGCAATAAACTTATATTCTCTACATATACTAATTATTTTTAGATCAATAAATTCTGAAAAGGACTGTTTTACACATTGCCTTTCACCTTTGATTGTCCAGGCGCTCCTCCAACGACCACTAGTGGACCTACGACAAAAAAGAACCAGCCAACCACACAACAAAAAACAAACCACGTCCTGAAGAGGCAGAACGCCTAAAACAGGACATCAAACACCAGATCCAAGAATACACCCAAAGCTAGTTAATACGAAACAATGCTACTATTCCCCAATGATTGGAATATTGCAATACTTTGCACCATACACAAACAAGTAACGTATGGTCCTAAAATTTTAGGAAAAATTTTAAAAGCATATAACTCTGACCACAATAATCTTATATTTTTATTAAATTATTCAACAATTTAACTTAACTATCCTTATTATAAATCAAAATTCAAATTACAGACAACGGATCATTATTTTCGATTTGGATCATTCTTTGGACGACCTCGGCGTCAATTTCTCTAATTTTTGTATATATGCGGCGTCTTAACTATTCTTGATTTTGTGCTTCCCATCCAATATTAAAGACTTTTCGACTTAATATTGCCCAGAACTCTTCAATTTGACGAGCCTGAGGTAGGTTGGGGGATTGTCTGCTTTCGGTACAAAGGTTTTGTTGTTAGTTTCGTACCAGTCCCTTGTGATCCTCGCGTAATGACATGAAGCAAGATCTGGCCAAAAGACTATTTAATCATTTGCATGATGTGTGTTCACAAACTGAAGCAATTTAGAGAGACATATTTGAATATAAATATTTGCGTTTAAGGCTTCGCCTCGAACAACACCAATGTAGGGCTGTAAGATAAAGCCAGCCTCAGAAATAGCACACCATACCAAAATTTTGTCCTCAAATTTTGTAACGGCTAGCTCACCCATTGCACATTGAAACCCCTCAGGGGTGATGTTCGGCATAAACTAACTTAATTTGAGAAATCGGGAATTATTAATAAAATAATTTCTTTAACACATATCTTTATTTATTTATATTTTAATAAATCAAAATGTAATAACAATTAAATTGAGGTTCTAACAACAGGGAATTAAGCATCTATATACAAAATCTCAAGAAATAAAGAAACTTAGCTCTACTCTATGAGAAATCCTCCTGCTGTTCTCTTCTCAACTCGGACCATACAATGTCTGCAAAAACCATGCCGCTAAGCCGAAACCATGTGGATCCCTCTCCAATCCAAAGCCATGCGGATTTTCAAAATCGAGATGGATTTCTTATTCCAAAAAAAAAAACAATTCCATTTTCGTATTCTTCGACCAAAAAAATCCATGTCAACGTAAATTTTCTTATATCATAATCAAGGTGGATTTTCTTGAATAAAAATCAAGGTGGATTTTCTTGAATAAAAATCAAGGTAGATTCTCTTGAATAAAAACCAAGGTAGATTCTCTTGAATAAAAACCAAGGTGGCTAGAAAAACAAAAACCGCTACAAAATTCGTCATGGCACGAGTTTTGTCCAACAACAGAAGAATTCTGGCAAGCGGAAAGCTCTTCTCTCTGAGACCTGTATACCGATCCAGAATTCTCTGATGTTGCCAAAACTCACAAATTAATAATTGTAATTAATAGATAAATTATTAAATGAAAAATGAAAAAGACAAAGTTGTGCGATAAATACGATTTATATTGAATTATTATTATTACAGCAAAGGTAAAAAGAAAATAAAAATTGTAAGCAGTTTTTAAGTACTAGCGTACACAAAATTATACGAAAAACTAAAAGTGTTCTTGATTAAAGTATGAAAATATGTTGTTGTAAAAAGAGCAAAGTATTAACTTACCCAGACCGTTGGAAGTTTCTGACCACGAGGACTTATTTTTTTAATAATACCTTCTCGTTTGCTGGTTTATTTTAAAAAGAAATTAAATCGGATCGGATTGATAGAAGTAAATTATTTAGGAGTGGGGTTTCTGTTTCTTGTACGATAAAGTAAGCGAAGGTAGGACTACGAGGGGACTTAAGAAATTAATCAGCGGATTTATTTGTAATAGGAAAATATTGAAATAAAATATAGGAATACAAACAAAGGAAAAAGAACTTATTATCAATGAAAATCAAATAGTATGAGCAGAAAATAGTGGAAAGTACTTTGAAATTAATAAGAACAAAAATGTAACGTTTTAAACGTTACAATTTTTTCTTACTTTTGAATTTTATTTAATCAGGTACATTTTCGTAATCGTTCGTGTAAAACCCATCGTTACCCTTCATCTCAGAGTTGGACAAAGTAAAATATTTTTCATCGTCCATCACGATCAACTTGTTGACGAAATGCACTCGCCTTAACGCGCGGCAACATCTCGGAATTCTCTCTAATTGATCCTCTGTCTATTTTGGAGCTTTCCTTCTTTTCCAGTAGATAATATTATTACTCGATATGGTCCTGTATACTGTAGTCTTTCCAACATGAAATCTTCTGGCCAGTTTTCGCTGTCAGACCCCAATTTTGTTCTTAGCTGCTTCAATCAGTCTTGCCTCTCTTATATGGTTCAAAATCTGCGGTCGGCCACTTTTACGCAAGTTAACACATGGTATCCTTTCTTCACATTCTCTGATTGTGCGATAAATTGTCGATTTGCTTATGTTTTGATCTCGATAAATATTAACAATATCTCGTTTCGACATTCGCCCAACCATATTATAAACACCTCGACGAATATCAATTTTATAAGACATTTTGCAGAGCACAAACCAAAATATTCTGCTTTGTTTATTAAATGTCAATAACTGATGACATTTCAATTCCATGGCCTTCTTTGTTAAATGCATTTTGCTTCTCAATCAGATCAGGTGAAATTTTTCCCAAAACTTTAGGACCATACGTTATGGTGAAAAGTATTATATTTACATCCATATTTTTTTGTTATTTTTTATAGGCGTTTAAAATTTGCAAACGCTCACATCAATTTAAATTTCTTGTCATATCTCATTTTTGTTTAAATATTTTTTTATAGAGAAAAAAACCTTTAATTAAAAAAAAAGAAATCTAATTTGATAAAAAATTAAGCCAGTTATGGACCAAAAAGCGATTTTTGACGTTTTATGGAATTTTGAGGTTATGCGTCAATATTTGGTGCAAAAATTTACAACAAAATTTTGGGTTTTGTTTGACCTGGGGCAATTTTTACATTCTTATCCGACTATCCCCTTTAGCACAAAAGATTTATTATATTTTTTTATTTGATTCGTGTTTTGTCATAAGTTTTATGGCACTATTTTAACCTGTTGTGTCTAAAAAAACTGATTCTTTACTGTAATATATAAAATTAATTCCCATTTTTTTATTTTAGGATGAACTCGATCCACTTCGGCACTTATGCTACCCAGGCACCGACGTTTTTATGTTATGTTTCTCAATTGTTAAACCTGAATCGTTCTTCTCCGCATGTTCTCGATGGGCCGAAGAACTCACCCGACAGGAAGCCGCTGTAGTCCTTGTTGGAACTCAAGCAGATCTCAAGGCTAATGTAGAAGTTCTAAATAGGCTTAGATTGTACGGTCAAAGGCCTGTGATGCAATCCGAAGCCAGAGGTTTAGCCGAAAGATTGAATGCGCCTTATATTGAAACATCAGCTCTAGCTTGTACCCAGTTGAAAGAAGCCTTTGATACTGCCATTGTGATAGCTTTGGATAGACAGAAACGAAAAACAAGACCTTGGAGGAAGCTATTGTGTTGTATCCCGTAATTTTCGTTTTTGACGATGTAAATTTCGTTTTTGTACATAGTTTAAAAACATCTCAGAACGGTTATTCTTTTTGGAATTGATAAATTTATAACCAAAATCTCCGATTATTAGTTAATTTATAATATTTTAGCTATAATCTTTGGTAATTAAGTCCAGAAATACATTTGTACAATAGAACAAAATATGGTTACTAGACAAGATAACGTCCTGGCAGATATTTTTAACTATGTTCATCATTCCCAAACTTTTCCATTGTTTTTTCTTTGAATCTTATCACCTTGGTGGTACTTTTAGTTGTTTAATTAGTCCAAAATATCTCACTTAGGATTTTTAGATAACCTGTCGAGACATGCATAATGACGCAAAAAACACTTTTTTAAATATATGAAATGTCTTGCTTCTTTTAAAAATATAGATATCTTTATTTGCATATGTCAATAACCTTTGCTTAAAATCTTTTTGTTTAATATTTTTTTAAATATATTATAAAATACAATACGAAAACCCAACCTATTATAAAAGTTGCGTCTAACATTTGATAATGTTTCCTGATTAATAGGTCTCATTGAATCAGAGATCTTTTCTTTCAATTCTTGGAGACGGTTAAACCCATTGTCCTCAATTCCGTATAGTTTGGACTTGATATATCTTACATAAAAAAATCACAAGGTGCAAAATCAGTTGATCTTGCAGGCCAGAAAATATCTCTGTGGCCACAATCAATCGATTAGGAAAAGTCGCACTGAGATATTCACTGATGATGCGAGAATTATGTGTAGGGCATCCATCATGTTGAAACCATATGGAATCGAAAGGTATTGGTAAATTACGAAGGGCGGTGATAATTTGATTGTGCAGAAGTTATTTCCGCTTATTCAACATACCGTCTATAAATAATGGACCAATGACATGATTCTCTGTTATGCCTCCCAAAACATTTACTTTGTAATATGTTACATTTACTCCATACTGTATATGGTGTGGACACCTGGACCATAAAGGCCAAATGTCGAAGTATTAAATCGAATGGACAAAGAACGAGAATTGCTGCCAATAATAGAAAGAAGAAAAACTGCTTATCTGGGTAATATATTTCGAAATTTCAAGTACCAGTTCTTAAAGCTTATTATGAAAGGGATGATAGAAGGAAAACGGGGCATCGGAAGAAAGAAATACTCATGGCTTAAAAACATAAGGAATTGGACAAACCTCGATGCCCATGCACTGTTTAGAGCCACACAAGATCGAGAGGAGTATGCCAAAATTGTCGCCAACATCCACTAATTGAATAGGGCACTATAAGAAGAAAAAACATTTACTTTTCAAAGACCCTGGATACGAGGGACTAAATCTGACGAGGATTTTCTCAAGACCATTACCAAGCGTTCATTGAATTGTTACGTCGATGCAACATTGAATTGTGACGTCCATGCAATGAAAACGTACATTTATTGGTGAAAAAAAAACAATTTCTAAAAGATGCTTATCTTGAGATAAAATTTCCGTTGCATTTTGACAGAATTGTAACTTCGACAATTATCCCCAGGAAACAAATTTATGTAGTTTATAGGGATGGTATCCATGACTTTCCAAAATGTTTTCTACTCCAAATCTTGAGTGTGCATACCGTTGTCCGAGACGAGATGTTGATTGGGTAGGATTTTGCTTAATATTGCACAAATCAAAGTGTCCCTTAGTTCCAAATCTCGATCTGGTTAGCTTTATAGGATGCCTTTTACAGGTTATAAACATAAGGTGCTTGCAGAAAAAAAAGTTGACAATGTCTTAGTTATCTTCTAATTCTTTTATACATGTTTTTTGGTTACTCTTCGAAAGGGTTTCGGGATAAGGAAAGGTGAGTTAGCTCCTAGTTCTGCTAAATGTCATTATCCGCATTTCTTTATGATCTGGTGACCATATTTAATAAAAAGCTTACAGCCAGACAACTAGACAGCATAAGTTACTTCTGCTGTTTTTACACCCAGAAAAACTTATGTTGATTTGGCTAACGATCTCATCTTATTAAGTATTGCCAGAAGGTTTAATATTATTCAAAAGACGAATTAAAATACTGCAACTACAAGCGACAGCAAAGTATCGTTAGATTAAAACAAAGTGGAAATGCAGGATCACTTGCGAAAGTAGCGAAATCCATTCAGTGGTTATTCACCAACGTCACAAATACCTGGAAAAGTTTTTTTTTAATCTGATCACAAAGAATTTTCCGTTGAGGTGTGGAAATACCTGGATAAAAGATGTATGGATAAAGTAAAAATACACAAATAAGATGCTTATATTATGCAAAATACTCAAAAACAAGCGTAGCAAGGAAATCTGTTAGAGCGATTATAAGAGAAAATAGACGAAGAGCCAACAGAGAATAGCCTTCGCATTAGAAGAGATCTGGAAAATTATGAATGTGAAATGTGAGCTTGTGTGAGTCCATTTCAAATAGGTAAAGAAATAATAAATAAGACTTACTCACAATCAATTTAATTTAACTGTCAGACGACAGTTAACTGTCAGACGAAGCTCTAAAAGACATTGGCTTGGACGGCAGAGATGTTCGAATAATTGCAAATTTATATTGGAATCAAACAACATCAGTTTTAGTAGATGGTGTGGAATCACAAGCTCTCAATATTAAAAGAGGAGTACGGCAGGGATGCCTCTTGTCACCCCTGCTTTTTAACGTTTACTCCGAAAGAATTTTCAGAAAAGCACTTTCTGAAGTCTCCTAAGCTTCTAGTCAAGAAGATCTGCAAACACTACTTGATAGTGTCGTTGAGAGTTGTAGGGAGGCAGGTCTGGATCTTAACATAAGGAAAACCAAAATACTCGTAATAAGTAAACAACAGAATATAAAACCGTCTATATATGTAAATAATACCAAACTTGAGCAAGTGATAAAATCGTCTACCTTGGACAGCAATTAAATTGTAATGCAGAAAATCACGGCGAAATTAGATCCAGAATAGAGCAGGCTAGAGCTGCTTTTAGAAGGATGTCCAAGGTGTTATGGTATTAACCATAGACATGTAATATTGGCATAATTATTGTAATTTATAACATCTAATTTGTTTATCTTTATTAGACAACACCCTAATATGGGTTTTTATCATTTCAGCATTTATTTAACTTTGTATCGAGACCTGAAGATGCTTTGCATATTGTAGAAAGCGAAACCGGTCGTCTGATAGTTAAATTAAATTGATTGTAAGTCTTATTTATTATTTCTTTACCTATTAGATCTGGAAAAATTAACAGCCAATATATTCGGAAATAAAGCGTTCCTTGAAGGAATTGAGAAAACTCTAAAAAAGCCTAAGATTGCACTGTCTCTGTGGATGATTTATGATAGTATCAAGTAATGATCTTCCAACTTATTATTATCAAAAGCGATTCTTAAAATTTCAGTCTTATCTTATTTATTATCTTTTATTTTATTTTGAATCACTTCGCTTCAATTCCGATAAAAATATTTGTAATTTGTCTCGTGTTAAATTCTCGTGCTTTATAAAAAACATTATTATGTATGGGTAAATTGGGTATATCAGTAACACTTTTTAGTGTAAATGATATACACTGAAAGCAAATGTATTAACTAAACCTGTAATGTAATTTCATCGCAGTACCACTTAATTTAAAAACAATGGCTTTCCTGTCTACTAAGGAAGTAGGCACAAACAGTATTAATTTCACTAGCTTCAGCGTGATAAATAAAAATGGCAAGTATTGTATGAAACATTTTATTTATTTAGTGACCAGATTTTGTTCGATGTACGAAATGCCGTGTTATTTATTTTTATTAAGTAAATAATGCTATAGCAATTTGTAGGCTGTAAAATATTTTTAGTCTCTCTTATTTTTAGTTTTTAGTATCTGACTGAAATCCTTCCATGTATTGTGTTATTTATTGTAAGAAATTTGACTGTGCTTAAATAATAATATAATAGAATATATAGTTCGTGGAAATGGCGAAGTTTGTAAACAACTGTTTATGAAATTGGTGGTTACTTGATGTAAATTCGTGTTTAATAATGTAAAATAAACAGGACACTGTTTTTAATTTTCAAAGAATACATGAGTCAACTTCACTATTAGCTCTTCAAAAGTGAGACACTTTTGAATATATAAGTGATTCAGGTGCATCTTTATTTTTTTAAAGGTTTGAACACATTAAATCAATGCTTTGGGTATCCTGGATTATGTGTCAATTGAAGTTTTAGATAGAGTTAACAGAAAGGACTGCATAATCATTGACCCAGTAAGAACCATTTGTCCAAGTATGGACCAATATTTGTTCATAGTGGGACTCCTATTGGTTTATATCGGGAGATATATGGCCCATACTGGGTCTATTATAGTTAAAGCAGGAGATAAGTAGGTCCTGATGGGGAATCAATATTAAGAATATTAAATGAAAATAACATTATAAAAAACATTTAAAACATTGTATATGGAGAAAAATCAAACTGGAACTGTAGCTGATTTGCTGAACGTTCCGTTGAACCAATAGCGTTAGATTTTGGTAAAATCCTAACAATATTATCTTGTTTCCAATCAATATGTATTCCTCAATGTTTAACAAAGGAAGGAGATCACATATTCACCGTTAATAACAACTTCAACACATCCAGTATAATGACGAACAAGTTTCTTGGTAGGGTATTTCACAATAACAAAATGGCCAATATGAATATCTGGCTCTAAATCATTGTCCTCGTTATCACAACGTGCATTTGATTCCATATCATCGTCTGTTTCGAACTCTTCAGAGCTTGATTGTTCCGTTTTAAATCTTTTTTTTAGGTAATAAATCGACACCATATTTATGTTCTTATTTTTTTTAGTTTCTATTTTTTGTAATGCTGCAAACACTTGTTTTGCGACTTTCTGTTTTTTTTTCTTGTCTTTGACTATAATACTGTTCTTTTATTTTATCTTTTATAAGAGTGTCTGTAAGTACTAGTGACTTCCCCTTCCTTCTTTCATCATCATCATCATCATCACTGGCTCGACAACCCTTTTTGGGTCTTGGCCTGTTCAAGGATTC